GTAAATAAAGGGATAAATCCCCAGCACTGTTAAAATGCCAATGTTTCATATATGGCTGTTCAAGAAGCTAGTTGATGCTTTAGCTTAAGGCAAGACTAAGAGTATGACAGAATATAACCACTCCCAAGTAAACTGTTGTACCTGTGGATAACAATACCCTGGAGCTGCTAAGTGCTTTATGTTATGCCAGCAGATACCTTTTAACCATCTGCACTATTTCTATACAAAATGACCACAAATCACCCCTAGATTCTCTTTTCTCCTAGGGCAGTGTATTTCTAAAACTGTTAACACTCCCCATTTTCCTTTACGCTGCAGGGTATACTTATTTTCTCATCATTAATAACATTCAAACTGCACTTCTTTTGCAGCATTTAGATAAACCACATTTTGTTAGAGTTAGAATTTACATTACAGAATTTAGAAAATGAAAATGCATTTACACGTCATCTTTTCTAGAATAAGGCCATGAAAAGCTATGCTAGTATGAGTAGTTAATTTTAACTGGTTACTCTGCCCTTACACCTGAGAAGCAGTTCACGCCCAAATATTATCTGGCCATCTCAAAGTGCAATTCTGCTTTGAAATGGCTCAGTTGGAGAGTATGTGATTATTGCCTGTTAATCTTTGATATAGCAAATGCACTTAACATTTTATTTAAAATTGTTTCCTGTAACAGCCAGTCCTGTAAACCCAATTATGGGTCTAAAAGTCAAGCTAGGTTCTCTTTGTTGTCCATAGTTACCCCAGGTTCTGCAGGATGATGTATGCTCTCAATCGCATACACACAGACCATATGCCCTGAGTGTATTTACACAAGTCTCATTGGATGTAACTTTCAATGGCCAATACCCAAACCCAAGGCAGATTCCAGTTCACATGCTCTCTTAATGGTACTGACTAAGATTACAACTCATAATGAACACTTTCATTTGTCACTAACATATTTGTAACAAGGCAAGTTTTCTCCTACCATGAGGTCCCTTGTAATCTTTAGGCGCCTCATGGCCTATTAAGAGCTCTTCAAGTTTTATTTTACAATACCTCCACCACTGTCACAATCCTACGTAACGCAACTATGTTCTTCAAACAGAGAGAAGGATCTAGCTTCCCCTAGCCTTCTCCTGCTTTGTACTTCTTGCTTTTAATTATCCCACCAGCTGGGGAAGCTAGTTAAAGTTCTTAATCAACCCCCATCCCTACATAGATACTCTGCTTAGGCAATTAAAAACTCCTTCTCAATCAAACCTTTTCTGGTGGAGCTAATTTACACTTAAGTGCTCAGAGTACTGGGCAACAAGCTTGCAGCACTCTGTCACCATATTACACATCACAAAAAAAATGTTTAAAATGTTCAGGTTGCAAACCAGAATCAAGGATTCCTGTATGCAATAATTTCAGGTGCAACTGTGAATGCTCAATGCTTCTGCATAAACAGACCTCATGGTATCAAGCTGGACTCCCAGAAAACAAGGAAAACACAATTAGTGATTGCCTATGAAAAATCAGATTTAAGTGGCTTGCCTAGCACCACACAGGAACTCTGTGGCAGATGAAGGGACAGAATCCTGGGTTGTGTCTACATTGGCATGATTTTGCGCAAAAGCACTTGCTTTTGCGCAAAAACATGCTGCCTGTCTACACTGGCGGGGAGTTCCTGTGCAAGAACACTGACGTTCTAATGTGTGAAATCAGTGCTTCTTGCACAAGAACTATGATGTTCCCGCTCAAGAATAAGCCCTCTTGCGCAACTGTTCTTGCCAGTGTAGACAGGCAACATGAATTTCTTGTGCAAGAAAGCCCGATGGCTATAATGGCCATCAGAGCTTTCTTGCACAAGAGATCGTCTACACTGGCACGGATGCTCTTGCACAAAAGCACATCTCTTGCGCAAAAGCACATGCCAGTGTAGATGCTCTCTTGTGCAAATACTTTAACACAAAAACTCTTGCGTTAAAAGTATTTGCCCAATATCTTGCCAATGCAGACGTAGCCCAAGTCTTATGGCTAAGATATGCCCTTAATACCCTCATTTTTCTGCTTGCAGTTTCCTAAGTCCTCAAGTACAACTTCTGCAACAGATAAAGCAGTGATCCTACAGATAGTATGCTCCTTCCCTGCACAGCACCAATTCATCCCCAGTGGTCACAAACCTTTCTTACACTGTCCTCATCTTACTCCTGACTCTTCCTTCTCCATGCCCCCCCCCCCCCCACACCATATTGTTGCAATCTCTTCCCCCTTCCCCAGATTCTCATACCAGCTCCAATTTTAGTGTTCTGAGCTAGCCAGTCCCAGAGTCAACCTCTTTGGGCTCCTCATACCAGTCCCAGTCTCTTTCAGCAGTCAGTCTACAGACTCTGCTGCTGGGCTCCCCATGTGAAGCAACTGCTTCAGAAAAAGGCTCACTACTTTGAATTTTGTTAAGTTAAAGGTGTTACCAAATGCGTTCATTCAAAAAAGGTACTCTGTGTTAGAACAATAATAAAAAAAGAATAAAAAACAACTGCCGTTCAAAAAGAAAAACAAAGTTCATCATTTAATTTCACCACACAACACATGGACACGCATGACTAAAACAAGTAGGAGGAAAACCATATGCACCAAGTTGCAATATAAATCCAAATTAGGTCATAAATGGCAAGTACATCATTATAGTTATTCAGAGTGTCTTTTTTTGCCATTGTAATTGAGATTGGGGCCAGAGGACAACCAACTGGATGAAACCCAGTCTGGATAAGTGTCCATAATTTAGGGAAGCAAACAGAGGGGTTGGCAGAGTTTATTTCAGCTTCTGTGATTGGGAGATATGCCCAGTATTTGTGACACAGCTATAGCCAGGACATTCTGGAGATATTCATTGCTTCTGAATGGTCAGGTGTCAGAAAAGGCAAACTTTAATTCAGAGCTGGACCTCTTAGCAGTTATACATCTGTTTGGACTTTGAACCCAAATTACTGCAATATGCCGTATAAGGGTATGTCTGCACTGCAATTAGACACCAATGGCTGGCCCATGCCCACAGACTCAGGCTCACAGAGCTCTGGCTCAGGGACCGTTGAACTGTGGTGTAGACTTTCAGGCTAAGGCTGCAGCATCCTGCAAGATGGGACAGTCCCAGGGTTTGGGCTACAGACAGAGCCCAAACATCTACACTGCAATTAAACAGCTCCTCAACCCTAAGTCCAAGATGCTTGGCCTTGCCCACTATGGGGTTTTAATTGTGGTACAGGCACACTATGGGGATTTACCTGTACACCATTTAAAAGCTACATCTAGAAGGAAGCATTTCACTTAATTAAAAAGCACATCTTATAGAAGAGTAGTAACATGTGTGTTTGGAACCGGTTGGAATGAAAAATTGAGAAAGGGTGAAATGTAGCTTCCTTTTCTCCATCCATTTTTTGTCAACACTTTGACAGAAATTTTCTGATTTGTATTCTAATATCCACACTAGCTGTCATTTCATGTGCAATTCAAGCTTCTTAAAAAAAAAAAAAAAAAGACTTTACTGATTTGGGGCTAAATTTACTGAAGAATTCTTACTTCACATTTAATAGCCCCACAGTTGATATCAGCAATCTATTAGTTTTAAAAGGAGCAGCTGCTGACAGATCATTTTCAGTGAGGGGCATTAAGCAATGGGACTTGCTTCCTTCTTTGCTATGACACAGCTTCAGCTTGATGGTTTTGAAGTGAGCTACAAGGAGGACATGGGTTACAAGTGAATTGTTATACAGACAATTCGAACTAAGTCGTTAGTTCCACGAGGAGTAACAGTAATTAACTCCTCATTCCACGAGCAGTAACAGTTAATTCGAACTAAGAACTTAGTTCGAATTAACGTTTCACTGCCACGTGTAGCCGCGCGGCAGTGAGTTCGGGCTAGTGAAATTTCAAAATGGTGACCGGACGGGAACATGCAAATAAAGCCCAGGATATTTAAATCCCAGGCTTCATTTGCAACTCTAGTCACCTTATTTGCCTACCTAGCTTGAATTAATGAGCTAGTGCAGACATACCCTGACTGAGGCCATATCTACACTACAACAGATAAGCTACACAACTCTAGCTACATGAACAACATAGGTGGAGTTAACGTATCTTAAATTGTGCTACCATGGTCTCTACACTGCAGGGGTTTGACAGGAGAAATGCTACCATTGATTTCCCTCAGGGTACATCTAGACTACAGGCTTTTGTCGACAGATACTGTCGACAAAGCTTCTGTCGACAATGAGCGTCTAGACTACATCCAGTTCTGTCGACAAACCAAGCTGCTTTGTCGACATGAGAATGTAGATGCAAAGGACAGTGTAGATGCAATAACACCGTCTGTCAACAGAACTCTGTCGACAAAAGGCATTATTCCTCATAGAATGAGGTTTACCGCCGTCAACAAAGCTGCCGAGTTCTGTCGACGTTATGTCGACAGAACTCGGCGGTAGTGTAGACGCAGATATAGTTTTGTCGACAAAAGTCCAATTTTGTCAACAAAACCCTGTAGTCTAGACACACCCACAGTCTTCTTGTCCTGGGTAGATTAACATGGTTGACACAGGAGAAAGTGATCTGTGGTCATTTTGGTGGATCTTAACTTGATCTGCAAAAATCAACAGCTAGTGGATAGATCTCTGAGCTTTGATCTGGGCTGTAGTGTAGATGCAGGCAGAGAAAAACCTTAGAATGCCTGTTTTACAGTTTTGAGATACAGTTTGAAAATGAAGAAAACTGTTAAATAACTCTGAAACATAGCTGTTTATAGAATATATGTGGGTGGTTGTTTCTCACATCCTTTATAAATTTCTTGGATCAAAATTATTGTTGCATGGCTAAATCTTGTAATCTCTATTCAAAGATAGCCATAGGGTGTCACTGTAATATTCAGTTTTGTTATTAAGTTCATCTGTTTCAGTTACCATTGACTTCAAGAGGACTCATTTTTATGTTGGCAAATGTGGATTCCAAGACTAATTCTGACTTATTCCAATAATTTTTACCTTTTTCCATTAAGCCATCATAAAATCTTGATTTTTGCTTCTGGCGAGAGAGGAGTGTGGGGTTCTATAAATACATTAAGAACAAGAGAAAGTAAAAGGTAAGTGTATGTCCCTCTACTTAGCTGGGAAGGAGAGCTAATAAGGGATGACATCAAGAAGGATTAAGTCTTTAACGCTTATTTTGCTTCAGTCTTCACTAAAAAAAGTGAATTGTGACCAAATAATTTACACAAGGGGGGTACAATGCAAATCAAAATAGGAAAAGAACAGGTTAAGGAATATTTAGATAAGTTAGATCTAGTAAAGTCAAGAAGACCTGATGAAACTCATGCAAGGAAGTATCTTAAGCCGTCTCAAAACTGATAGCAATTATCTCATGATTGGGTGGAGTCCCAGAGAGAAGAGGGGCTAGATGAAGGCAAAGCGTACCTATATTTAAAAAGTAGAACAAATTGGAACCAGGGAATTATAGACCAGTCATCCTAGCTTTAATCATTGGAAAGAAACTGTAACAAGTTCTTATGCAGTTAGTTTGCAAACACCTAGGAGAATAATAATAGGTAATAGAATAATTAATAAGTAATAGGCAACATGGATTGGTCAAACATGCCAAAACAAAAATATCCCAAACCAACTTAATTTCCTTTTTTGTCAGAGTTACTGGCTTAGTGGATATAAGCTGTAGATATGCTATAAATTGATCTTAGTAAGTCTTTTGACGCAATCCCTCATGATATTCTCAAACAAATTATGGAAATATGCTATAGATGAAATTACTATAAAATGAATGCAAAACTGGTTGAAAGACTATACTCAAACAATAGTCAATGGTCTGTTATCAAATGGTGAAAAAGAATCTAGTTAAGTCCTGAAGGTATTTAGCCTCTATCTGGTATTATTCAATATTTACATTTATGATTTGGATAATGGAATAGAGACCAGGCTTATCAAATTTGCAGCTCGCACCATGGTGAGGAGGATTGAAAGGGTCCCAAAAAATTTGGAGGACAGGATTAGAATTCAAAACAAACTTCACAAATGGAAGAAGTAGTCTGATATCAGCAAAATATTCAGTAAAGAAAAGTGCAAAGCACTACATTTTAAAAGGAAAAAATCAAATGCACAACTAAAAAAGTGGAGAATGACTAGGTGGTTGTACTATTGAAAAGGATTGACGGGGTACAGTGACTCATTTGATCCACTAATTTGATACACTTGAAGAAAAGGCTAATATTTTGGAGTGTATTAACTGGAGTGATGTATATCAAGACATGGGAGGTAATTTTCCTGCTCTACTTGGCACACATGGTAAGTCCTTCAGCTGGAATACCGCAGCCAATATTTAATACCACAGTTAAAGAAAGATATGCACAAACTGCAGAGTCCAGCGGAAAGCAGTACAAATAAAGTGTTCAGAAAACCTGGCCTATGAGGAAAGTTTGAATGAACTGGGAATGTTTAATTTTGAGAAAAGATAATTAAGAGGGGACCAGATGGTCTTCAAATGTAATAAAAGCTGTTAAAGATGGTGACAATTGTTCTCCATGACCGTGGAAAGTAGGATGACAAACAATGCACTTAATCAGCAACAAGAGAGACTTGCTAGATATTAGGAAAAATGTTCTACTGAATCATTGGAATGGGCTTCCTGGTGATATGCTCATCATTAAATGTTTTTTTAAAAGCAGGATAAACAAGGGGGGACATGATAGCGGTTTTCAAATATCTAAAAGGGTGTCACAAGGAGGAAGGAGAAAATTTGTTCCTCTTGGTTTCTGAGGACAGGACAAGGAGTAATGGGCTTAAAGTGCAGCAGGGGAGGTTTAGATTGGACATTAGGAAAAAATTCCTAACTGTCAGGGTGGTCAAATATTGGAATAAATTGCCAAGGGAGGTGGTGGAATCTCCCTCTCTGGAAATATTTAAGAACAGGTTAGATAGACATCTGTCAGGGATGGTGTAGACGGAGCTTGGTCCTGCCTTGAGGGCGGGGGGCTGGACTCGATGACCTCTCGAGGTCCCTTCCAGTTCTATGATTCTATGAAACACCTGTCAATGATGGCCTAGATATATTCTAGGCTAAATGACCCCTCAAGGTCTCCTGCAGGGCTGCATTTCAACGAATACATTTCTGTGTTATCTTTAGGAATCCTGTTCATTTTTGAAAATGTTCTCTTAAAGATCTACGATCTGGCACTGATTCAGGAAAGGCCTAAAGCACACATTTAACTGTAAATGTGCTTAATCTATTTCAGAGGGACTATTCACATGACAGGGACCTTTTAGCAGAATTGTACCCATAAACACTTATGCTCATTCCTGAGCCATGTCACTACCATTAAAATCCCCAAATTCATGGAAAGGATTAAATACAATAAATAGAAGGCTAAAAAATATATGCCAAATGTGAGCATAAACTTTAAATCACATATATATACACAGAGATTTTTTCACTGATCTAGTATAGCTTTGCAGAGATCTTGCTGGCATCAGTCAGTATGTAGAAAGTGCTTCAGTAGGCTATGCTAGAAATTACAGTCACTAAATGTCACAAGGTTTTTCATATCAATCTAATGCCTCTAATTTGCATCCTAAACATTATCTGCTTTGTACTGTATACTCTGTACTTTTTGCCTTGGCAATACCAACCCATTAATCTTTCACATTTAGCCATTATTGATGTTCCTACTATTAAGAAGAATTTCTTTGAAAATAGGCAGCATTAGCATCTAATGGATACTTTTTTCCTTCAAAGCTTTTGTGCAACTTCCATTAACCTCCCTAAGTATACATTGGTGAAACATTTCCAGAACAAAATAGTTATGAGTTCAACTATCCCCATATTGGCTATCCCCATATTGACTGGTACACATAACCTCAGGATGGGATGCAGAGATAAAGTTTCTTGACACCTTAAATGACTGCTTCTTGGAGTAGCTGGTTCTGGAACCCACCAGAGGAGAAGCAATTCTTGATTTAGTCCTAAGTGGAGTGCAAAATCTGGACCCCATGGAAATAATGACCAAAATATAATTAAATTTAAGCATCCCTGTGATGGGAAAGACACCTGTCAACTCACAGGGCCAGGGCCCAACAGGATTATGGATTCACTTCAATCCATAGGGTTGATTAGGGATAGTTGCCTTTACTAATCTCACTTCATCACTACTATTACAGGCTTACTACTGCCAGATGGTTTCATAGCTACTGCAAAGTAATACACCAATAAGCATAGGCAGAGCAATGCATAAAAGTGAGAAACAGGCACTTGGAAATGCTTACGAACCTTCAGTCTGCAGGGAGTCCCGTTCCTGTCACCTTGCACCAGGCCGCAATGGACATGGCTCCAGCTAGGGGGATCCAGGGTACCAAATTTAACCCCTACAGGCCTATGTATGGCTTTTTATGTGACAACACCATAGCACTAAAAAACTATGGCATTTTATTTCAGAAAGGGGAACTAAACAAAACTGAGAATGTTAGTTAAACAAAAATTTTAAAAGGTACAATGCCAAAAATGAAATCCCTGCAAGCCTCATGAATACTTTTCAGATACCATAATAAATTCTCAACTTAAGTATGTACCCCAAATTTTTAAAAAAAAATAGTAAGAGAACCAAAAAGTGCTACCATGGCTTAACAATCAAGAAAAAGCAGCAGCAAGAAATAAAAAGGCCTTGTTTTAAAAATGGAAGTTAAGTCCTAGTGAGGAAAATAGAAAAGAGCATAAACTTAGGCAAATGGAGCATATGTAATGTATTTAGGAAGGCAACCAAAAAAAGGGAGGGAAGGGGATTTGAATAGCAGCTAGCCAAAAAGTCAAAAAGTAATAGCAAGTTTTTTTAACGTATACGTTGGACCTCACTGCTCCTGTACCCTCTGGACCTGACTGGTCCCAAATGAGGGGATTTGCCAGACCAGGGAAGGTCCCTCACCTCATCGCCCATGCTGCCACTGGGATCAGGTTCAACCTGTCCCCTGCTGCTGTCCCTAAATGCCACCGGCCCCACTGCTGCCGGGCCAGAGCACTATGACCAGAGCTCCACAGCTGGGGCGGAGCTCTGCAGCTGTTGGCTCTGCGGCCGGGGACAGAGCTTCCCGGGCTGATGGAGCCAAAATAGGTCCGGGGTTGGAGCTCTATGGCTGGGGCCAGAAATCACTGCCGTGCTGCCTGCCCATACACCCCTCTTCCCCCCACCAACATTGGGCTCTCAACTGAGTCACTGGTGCCCTCTATGGTGCTCCTGCCCCACCACCAGACCTCCCTGTTTCTGGGCTCTGTGGTCCAGGAACATTCATGGTCCATGTGAGACCATGGATGTTGCCAGAGCACAGAGTCCCGGTTAAGGGAGGTACAACCTGTACATCAGAAGCAGGAAGCCTTTGCATCAGTCTTCATTGCTGAGATCACGAGGGAGATTCCCAAATCTGACCCATCCTTTGTAGGTGACAAATCTGAGGAACTGTCCTAGATTGAGGTGTCACCAGGGCCAGATGCTATTCACCCAACCCTTCTGAAGGAACTGAAATGTTAAACATTGGAACTATTAACCATGGTATGTAACCTTTCCTTTACATCATCTTTTCTACCAAAAAGATGGGAGAATAGCTAATGTGATGCCAATTTTAATAAAGGGCTTTTGGGTGATCCAGGTGGTCCTGGCAATTACAGTCCTATACATCTTCAGTACTGAGCAAATTGGTTAAAACTATAGTAAAGAACAGAAGTGTTAGACACACAGATTAACATAATTTGTTGTGGAAAAGTCAACATGGTTTCTCAATCTTTTTGGCTATGGACCACCTGGCTCAATGCAAATCTTTCTGTGGATTAGGGATGTTAAATATTGACTGACTCATCGAATAGTCAATAGGGCACCACCACATTTCAAAGGCAAAAGTGCCGGGTGGAGCCTGGAGTCAGCTGGAGACTCCCCTGCTGACCCCAGGCTCCATGTGGTGCTGCCGCTTTGAAACACCGCATGCAGCCTGGGGACACCCCAGCTGGTCCCGGGCTGCATGCAGCTTTTCA